GGCCCATTTTTCTTATTGAATTAATAAGTAGTCCAACAATCTTTAATACTAACCTTGTATATACTCATATAAATTGCAAAATTATAGTGGTATTACCGATTACGTATATATTGACTTGACTATATTATAAGGAATTAGTACATAAATTTCCGTTATAATTTACCATGTATATATATATATTCTCAAATAAGATAAATGTGACAGATAAATATTTGACCGACTTACCAAAACTTTAGCTGATACTGGATACAGATTATGCAAATTCTCTCAGTCATTTATATATATATATATCACAAGTCATATTTAATGTTGTATAAATACCACACCCCTACACATGACATTGCAATAAGTTAAAAGAAAATAACTCATATATACATATTCTCGAAATTTCGAGTAATTGTTAGAAATGAAGACATCATTTGCCCTAATCTCTGTCCTAGTTCTTCTAGCTTGTATGTCTGAAACTACGAACGCTAACGGCCGTCTGCCACTCGTCGTCAATCCTCAGACCCTTGGATCGGCCAAGGATACCGTAACAGTTTATCGTACGGCCCTACCTACTTTTCTATTATTATTATTATTATTATTATTATTATTATTATTATTATTATTATTATTATTATTATTATTATTATTATTATTATTATTATTATTATTATTATTATTATTATTATTATTATTATTATTATTATTATTATTATTATTATTAAATAATGTTTATGTTACGTTTTTTGCAGCATGCACCACTCATATTTGCGATGCTTGCTGTTACTGCTACATTGACGTGATCCCGCCGGTATGTGGCAGATGCTGCCCTGATCGGCCTATTAATCCCCCCTCATTCAATAGGTGAATTTGACATCAATTGTAATTACCCAAATATTAGGGGGTTTTCATAATTTGGATTTATCTCAAGGGCCTGACTGTAATTTCCCCTTTTTTTTGGAATAAATTTTTTAAGGACCTAGACCATGCTTTAAGGCCCAAATCATCACTGTTTTTAATTAGGCCCATTTTTCTTATTGAATTACATAAGTAGTCCTACAATCTTTAATATACCAACCTTGCATATACATATAATAAATTGCAAAACTATAGTGGTATTACGTATATATTGACTATCTTATAAGGAATTGCGTACATAAATTTCCAGTAATAATTTACCATGTATATTCTCAAATCATATGAATGTGACAGATATTTTTTTGCTACGGTTAAACCTCTATTAAATTGCGTATCTCCCCAAATATATATAAAATGCAACTGAGTATATATAAATAGTACATTACATTAACACACAAAAAAGTATTTAATTATGCCTTTGACAACGAATTAGACAAGAATGTTGAGTTTAAAGAAAGAAAATATTATTGAAATATGCAAAAAAATGAATGTAATTTAATGCATATACATATTCATAAACATGTGGATCGGATTCTATTAATAAAATAGAAATAAACATTTTAATATGGAATAGAGACTATAACTGCAATTATTAATTATTCAAATTTCAAATTTTGAGAAATTATTTCGTAGAAATACTTATTTATGATGTTGTATAAATACCACACCACTATGGTACAAGTTCAAAGAAAATAAACTCATATATATCTATATATATATATATATATATATATATATATATATATATATATATATATATATATATATATATATATATATATATATATATATATATATATATATATATATATATATATATATATATATATATATATATAT